AAACTTCTTGGTGTGTTTCTTCTCTCAGGCATTGGCTTCAAGAGTGTGTTTCTCATCACTGCGCAGCCCTACATCTTCAGCAATGGGTACCAGATACGATTCAGCGAGGAACCTTGCCAGCACTGCAATGTAGGCTATATTGTACCTGAATGGGTGGAGGCAAACCCAACTCTTTCAGTTATAAAACAAATCTATGGGTCTTCTGCTACCCTTCCAGCCACAACTATAGTGCTACCACTGAAACCTGACAAGGTGAAACCTGTTAAGCAGCAGCTTTCAAGCATCCATCCTGAAGTTCTTCTCTTTCTTTCAAAGATAAAGAAGCTTTCTGTCAGGGAAGACAATGAGGATCCCAGGCTTAATACCGTTAGTGCTATTTCAATTTCAAGTGAGACCGATTTTGTTAAGAAGAAGAACATTGATGCTGAATCCTACATGCTCCATCTCTCAGCTGACGAAAAATCTGGTTTGGGGGAATGCAGTTACTACATGTGGAAACAGAAGTTTCCTGTTAGGCGGGAGCACAGGGTGGATAGAAGAATGGATGTCGATGAGTGGGTCATCACATTAGCTTTTCCCAATGGAGAGCGCCTCAACAGGGGAACCAGTTCCCCCGGGATTTATGCTTTTCTTCCCACGGAGATGGTCACGAACTTCCCTTTCATAATTCAGGCCGATTTTCTTTTAGCATCATCAAGGGAGACAATCCTTCTTGATGACATATGGAACCGGGGCATTCTTGACTGCGTCTCTTCTGCTTTTGTCAGTGCTTTCACATCGCTTGTGAGAGCTAATGAAGGTGCTCCAGTTTCTACTCTCACTCATATGTTTGGCTTTTTACCAGTCAATGCATCTCCTTATCCAATTCTTAACGACGTGAGAGATTCCATTAAAAGAAAACTGCTGGATGAAAGTATCATTCCATGCGAATCATACATGGAACAACAGTTCTTCCAGAAATCCAATGGTGTTGGTAGGTTGAACCCTGCTTTCTGGAATCTGCTGAACAAGGCGAGGAAGCAGGGGGTCATATTGCATAACATCTCGTCCCATGGAACATTCATTGTCAACTCTNATCTCTCCCCAGACACCTTCATCAATAGCATTAATGATAGAAGGTGGTTGCGGACTACTCAAGGTGAGAAGACCCCTCTGGAATCTGTTTTCTTTGACAGCGAGTGGAATGCTGCCTCACAGATCAGTGACATCCCATTCATTGACCAAAAACATTATGGTGATGAGATTCTTTCTTTTAGAACAGAATTGGAGCTGCTTGGAGTGGTTTTTGGTTTCAGGCAAAATTACCAGCTTGTTGTTGACAACCTGAGGTCTCCAGCACGCCTGGGGTGCCTGAGTTCTGATGCTTTGCTCTTGATACTTAAGTGCATTAACCATCTGAGGTCATCTGACAAAATATGCAGGGCACTTAGGGATAGCAAATGTATGAAGACCATAAACATGGGGTGTAAATCTCCAGCTGAATGTTTTTTGCTTGATCCTGTGTGGGGCTGCCTGCTGCAGGTTTTTGGCAGTTTTCCTCTTATTGATACAAAGTTCTATGGAAGCGATATCTTGTCATATAAAAGCGAGTTGCAGAAACTAGGGGTGGTTGTTAATTTTGAGGGGGCAACTCAAGCTTTTGCTTCTGTTTTTAAGCAGCAGACAGCGAAGGGTGCCTTAAACAAGGATAGTGCCCTTTCTCTTCTTGCATGCTACAGAAAGTTGAAGACAGCCAGAATTAAGTTTCCTTCAGATCTTAAGAGCTGCTTTCAAAAGGTCAAGTGGTTGCGAACTCGAATTGGTGTTGATAAAGTACCTGAAGATTGTATACTCTTTGGTTCAGACTGGGAATCTATCTCTTCAATCTCTCTGTTGCCTTTCGTTGATGATAGTGAGGCTCGGTATGGAAGGGACATTCATGAGTACAAGGATGAACTTAAGAGTATGGGAGTTACCGTGACATTTGAAAGTGGGGTAAAGTTTGTGCCTGCAAGCCTTCGATTACCTGAAGACCCTAGCGTCATTACTGTTCCAGTCGCATTCTCGTTGTTAGACTGCTTGAGGAAGTTGGAGACGGAGCATAATGATCAGATTGCTACGTTGCGGTCAAAACTTGCTAGAAAATGGATGAAGACTAATGCTGGTTACAGGTCTCCAGATAAGTGTTTGTTGTTTGGTCCCCAGTGGAATCCTCTCTTACAGCCAGAAGATGGTCCTTTCATCGATGAAAATTTTTATGGCTCCAAAATAGGGTCGTATAAGAAAGAGCTCAAGTCTCTTGGTGTTGTGGTTGAAATTGGAGATGGATGCTCATTGCTTGCCGATTACCTTGATTGCCACTCCAGCAGCGTCACTATCACTCGGATTTACAAGTACTTGAGTAAGTTCAACTGGGAACCAACTAAAGAAGATCCTAGAAAAATATGGATTTCAAATGGTGATAACGATGGAGAGTGGGTGAATCCTGATGATTGTGTTCTGCACGACAAAAGTGGTTTCTTTGGCCTGCAGCTGCATGTTTTAGAAAAGCACTATGATAAAGAACTGATCAGTTTCTTCTCCAAATTAGGTGTCAAAAGCAATCCTTCTCTTGATGATTTTCTCAAGCTTTGGAAGTCATGGGAAGACGCGGACCGCAGTTTGTCACAATCAGAGTGTCAAACCTTCTGGGAGTTCATTGTGAAGCACTGGAGCCCAAGAACCGAGAAATTTCTATCTGAGAACTTGTCAAAACTTCCTGTGGGTTCAGGCTCGAACAAAATTTTGGTGCTTGATAAACGTGATGTTTTTATTGCTGATGATCTCTATCTGAAGGATTTATTTGAACAGTCTTCTTCTCATCCCTTGTTCGTTTGGTATCCACAACCAAGCTTGCCATCTTTGCCTCGGCAGAAGCTGCTTGAAATTTATGGCAAAATTGGTGTTCGTAATTTGTCTGAATCTGTTCTGAAAAATGGCTTGTCTTCTGTTAATTGTGTTGGACTTGAGCAGGTGCAGCCGAAGGAAATCTTCATCGGAAAGGGTTTGATTAAGTTAATCCTTGGCTTCCTTGCTGATCCTTCACTTCAAATGGAAGCGCGTACGAGACATGAAGCTCTCAAAAGCCTCGTGGATGTTGGTATTTGTGCGACACTGGAACCAATAACCATGGATTACTGTCTGTCACTTTCTTCTGGTGATGTCCTGAACGTGAAAGTGAGCCGAATGATGTGCTGGGATAGAGAAAATGCAAAGATTTTTATACAGAAGCTGGACAAATCAGGTGGTTACAGATGTAAGCTCGAGTTTGCTACATATTTCTCAGAAGTAGTTGCCGAGGGAATTCTAAGGGAGAGAGATGATTTTGTGCATCAACTGGCTGAATTGATCAAGTTGGGATTCATCCTGGAATTCGATGAGGCAGCTGTTGGGTTCTTGATGAAAACAAAGAATCTGCAGATATTTTTGGAGGATGAAGAACTCCTTTCTGCTGCCTTCACTTCCTAATAGGTATTTATGCACACTAAATCCACCATCCCCATTTACACTGAAACTTGTCGAAGAAATTCTGAAAGTTGACTTAAATGATGTTAAAACTTGATCATCTACTTAACTCTCACTTCCTGATGCATTCTCTCTTTTAAACTGCATAAGGCCAGGCCATCAAACTACTTTATGGTATAGTTAGTTGAGATGGTTACTAATCTATTCATTGTTGGACATACAACAAAGGATTAACTAACGTGAAATGTTCTATTTGTGCAGGCAGGAAGACATGGTTGTGAATGGTTAGGGAGAACTTTACGGTTGGGTGAGGCCCTCTAGAGATACCAAATGGGATTTCTGGTGTTCTCTGGTCTTGTGAGAAGTCTCTTGCATGAAGATTTAGCTTTTGTTATAAATCCCCGCTAGTTCTTAATGCCCTCTGATTTGTAGTTTGCTGCTCTAAGGTTTTCTATGCAATTTACTAAATTTGCACTTGGAGATACAGTTGCTGAAAAGCATTATTATTCCTCTTTTCCAAGTTTTTAAGATTGGTCCTCTCCATCTTCACCCAGTTCCATACAAACTCTTTAGTTTGCATGCTTATCTACCATAATGTGGTGTGTGTGCATGCTCATGCGCGTATAGAGAAGGCATTTATCAATTGGCCTTTAGCAACAAATTGTAACTTGGAATCCCTTGCTTGGAATCAATTGGTCTTTGCGTTTTATTTTATCTATTTGCTAGCTTCATGCTCCACACTATTGACGATCTGATTGAACTGTTTACTATTTTATCTTGGCATTTAAATGTCTAGTGTTACTTCTTTTGTATTTTAAAGCTTCTCGAAGAAATCATCATGTGTGTGCTTGGAAGCAAAAGTAAAAAGTGAATGGATTGGTTAAAGTGGTCGAAAGGATTCATAAGACAGGCTCCTGTACTGTATGAGATGTGAAACATATTTACTTTACTGCTAATCAATCTTTTTGATTTGTTATATGCCAAATGCTGTTGCTTCTGTTTATGTTTTGCTATTCCAGTTTTTGTGCAACTTAAGAAATATTTTTTCATTAGATTCGTGCCTCAGTGTGTGTCCACTAACTTCCTTAGAAGAAAAAGCTGATTCAAAATAAATTGAGTAATTGTAACAGCTTTTAACTAACAGTTTAAAATCTCTGTCATAAGAAATGAAAAGTTTCATTCAACTCTACATATTGAGAAAGAGTAAAGATTACCTGTTTTAACACAACAATTAGTAATGTTTTCCTCACTAATTTTAGGATGTGGAAAATTGCCAATGTGCACACATTTTCAATTGGACTTCTTAGTTATGGTTAGCTTATATACTGAGGAAGATAATATTCCAAACCATCTATAATTGACAGAAAGAATCACATGCTTACCTTGTTAATGGTTGTATGGTAGCAGCCATAGGGACAGTTGGTGTGATAGCTGCTATTGGGGTTGTGTCCTTAAATAAATTCTTCTTAACTGCATGGCACATTAAATGGTAAAAAGGAAAAAACATTAAAGTTATTTACACTGACCTTAGAGTTAATTTTTGACATCATCAATGTAATTTAACTTGCTTTAACAGGTCAATTCTCATTTATTCTAGGGTATAAATCAATATTATTAAATAGATTTATCTAAACAATCTTTTAAGTGAACAGACTGCGTAAATACTATTTACATCATGAGTCACAAAACATAAATTCTAAGGTTGAGCTAGGAGAGTCTGTTAAGCCTTTTCTCCTCTTCCTAGTTTGGGAAATTCTATTTTACATGTGGCAAATGATACATATATGTAAGTATGGGCAACAATCGCTCTTAGCCCGCGGCATAAGTTATTTATATTTGGTAGCTACAAAAGTATATAAAATATATATATATTTTTAACTATTATTTTGAGAGCGACTATACAATGTTAGTCATATAAAATGACATTTGTATGGAATTGTAGTTTTATGGTTGCCATCTCTTGATAATTACTGAAAGAAAACATAGCAATATTAACTTCGTTCTTCTTGTCTTCAACATTTTTATTTGTGAAGTAAACTCTAAAACTTGGTAAACCAAGACAATTATCCTCTCTTGATATATATACTCTGCTTTATTTTGATATATATACTCTACTTACATTGACACTGGATAAAGACTTAAGATATGAACACTTATTTACGTCTTCAGTGTAGTAAAGTCAATTCTCTTAGATCCTCACCCCTTATTGCATATGTTTACTCTATATTGCTTGATACCTAATTGGATTATTGGAACTTCCATTGTGGTTGATGCAGCATGCGAAAGCAGGAATCTACTTAATGATGTTTGAATTAAGACCGTGTTCCGAATTCGAATTCTTAATTGATGTTCTTTTCATATTGTTGCATGTGTTATGTTAGTTATGTTTCCTTGGGAGCTTCGTGCAAATTTTTCATTTATTGTTGAATCCACTACACATTTTTCATCTCCAATATCCACTGCTTGACCAAGTTTGCCAGAAGGATAATTTGGCTGGCATTCTTCCATGAATTCTTTGTTTTACTTTTTCACGTTTGTATTTTGTGGAGATTAGTTGGCACCTGTGTGGCCTTTCAGTTTGAATATGTTGTTCTGCTTAAACTATGGTTGCACATTAAATGTACCAACCAATCCAGTCACATACCTTTTCATGTGTTTGTCAATGTTCCACATGAAGAAATTAATTTGTGACAATCAACTATATCGGGAATGGGCACGTGCACCCACATCTAGTAAGTATTAATAAAAAAATATTGTCATTGGCGGCCTGGCATTGAAGGGAAAAAAAAGGAATAGTATGAATAAATTTATAGTACTCATAGTTGTAATAATTTAAAATAAAAAAAAATATTATAAATATTATAGAATTTTATATAAGTAAATAGTGTGCAGTTATTGTTTTGATGCACATAAATAAATATTTTATTAGTAAGCGTGGAGTAATATTTTTTAGAAAAGGCACCCCACAACCATTATATTTTATCAGTTTATTTGTAGTCAGAGTTATCTTGTGTTACTATAACAGATTGTAGTGATTTCGTCAGATGTTCGATGAACTGCTACATTAACTAAGCATGAATTATGTTAATGATTTACCTTCATTTTTTTTATCTTGTGTTTTCTTTAACTTTCTCTTTTTTTTTTTTGCTTCCAGGGTTTGGCTCTTGGGCTCCTGAAGCATTATACTTGACATGGATCACATATCTAAATTTCAGCTTTATGTATTTTTATTGTGTTTTCTTTGAAACCATGTTATCTAGTACTACTTATTGCGTCACCTCATCTTGTTCTATACACTATAAAGCTTGCTCGTTTTCATAGAACCCATACTCATATTTGCTTATGAGCATAGGAAAACCCACTTATCTCTAGTTATAGGATAAACCTCTCTCCTTTTCTTTATATTCAGTAGACTTGTTGAGCATGCTCAAAAAAGCTTCTCTACATAACAATAACAACAACAATAATAATAATAATAATAATAATAATAATAATAATAATAGTGTAAAGGTTTGAGGAGCGTGTATATACGCAGACCTTACATCTACCTTAAACAGATAAAAAGACTATTTTCAATAGTCCCTTGGTTCAAGAAAAGATGGGAAAAAATGGTAGTTAAAGGAGCTTCTCAAAATTGTTATATTGGGCTTGAGCTACGATATCACCGTAGAAATGACACTAGGTAACCAGTCTTAGAGGGTTGCTTTTTAAAAATTAGCTAGTGTGTCCTTAACTTTAGTTTTTTAGTTCAATTTTTCAGGACACAAAGTCGTTAAGTTAAATTTTTAATTCAAAGTTTCAAGACAGAATAAGTTCTGACTAATCCCTAAATAACAGCTCTAAAAATGGCCATTTGTATACTTCCCCCGATATAGCCCTTACATGTAATGTGCTTGTCCAGCAGAGTAGTCCAAGGACAACTTGCAGACGATAATACAGGCATTGAGATCCAAGAAGACGGATCAATAAAGCCCATATATTATAGTGCTGGCCCATGAGTTGGTAATGTCATCTACAATGTGTGAACTGACTAAACTACTTCAGTAAGCACCTCCACGATTGAAAGATTTTTCGTGTAATACTTTCATGTAGTTAGGAGATCACAGTTTGACCTCCAATATTACAAATTCGCATAAATGGCCTCTAACAATTGCCAAGATTAGACACATTACGTTACTAATTATACGAGGAAATAAATTCTCGGATCCTTTGTGTAGGATTTGTAGTGACCCGATATTTTTGAAAGTAAACCTTTGAGTTATTATCTGAATATTTTTTTCTCAATAAAGTATGTATTTGTTTACATATGAATCTAATATTTATTTATAAAGGGATATGAAGTAAGTATGGGATAGAAAATGCTAAGTGGCTAGTGGAGATAACTTACACTATATTTGATGAATAATTAATTTATATTTTTGAAAGATAATTAGAAAATAAAATGAGTGGGCATTTGCAAAGTTATTAGGGTAGCTATATTGTTAATTAACTTGAAACAAGTGGACCAAGACTATTATCTTTTGTGGCGCGTTCAATGACCTAGAAAATAAGAGTGAAGGGAAATTTGGTTTCTTGGCTTTTGGAACAAGAGGAGAAAATATTTGGGTAGTTCTGAAGAGGAAGAAGGGGTCTTAGTAGGCGGCACCTACAGACAAGTGAAATACTGTGAGAAACTTAGCTTTTTCTTTATCTACAGTTATGGGTTTCGACATTGTTATTAATATCGAGATAATTTTAATTATTTCCCATGACTATTATTCACGTGACATGAATATTAACATCCAAAGGGAAGAATTTCTGATGGCAATGACAAAGGCAGAAGGTTACCACTTAAATTATCTCCATGAATATATTAAGGAATTCTTGTGGTTGGTTTGCAAGTCAATGAGAACAAGTTAATCGATAGAACTAAGAGGAAATCTGATTCCTTAAATTCGGAGGCACTCATCACAAGAAAATCAACATACCTAATAGCATGCTCATAACTCATGCGGCAAAAAAAAAAAAAGGAACGCAGAATTATTCATGGTTTACTAGCTATTATAGTGAACCTACTGTTGCTCCTTCCCTATCTTGGCAGCACGTTGTTGGGCATATATTTGGGAGTGGAGAGAGGTGCTAAGTTTCAGTAAGTCTCCAAAGGAAACAATAGTTCAAGGTAACACAAATTCTTATCACCAGCCAATTCTTCTTCCATGAGGGACTTCAATGAAGCAAGATTTTTTGATTTTTCCTTCATCGACCGACCCAGACCCCGTACCTATCCCCGATGAATGTCAGGATGAAACTACTTATCATTGTAAGTGTGATTTACATATAATTGATATTTAAAGAAAAGCTTGTGCCTAAGTCCTTGCAAGCCTTTAAATGACGGCTTGAGAAAGAAATTTGGAGAACAAATTAATTTGCCGATTATGGGGAATAAGCTACTGCTAGTTTATTAATTTAAAAAAAGTAGCAAATTAGAGGCTTACATTGCTGGTCTAATCATGACGAAAGTGTATTACTTAGATATTCTAAAACAACCTAATATTATTGTATAACAGAAGGTAGCGATTCGTCCTAGTAGAATTTTGAAGGAGAGTTGGGATTTTTGACTTGCTAAGATCGTAAATTGCGAATCAGCATTGCTTGAATGAAGTGAGAAGTCGAGTTGAGCTTGATAGCTTTGAGATTAGTGAGACTTTAAGTTTTGATTCTTGCTTTTTTCAAAATCTG